CGGCACCCTGCAAAGCACTGGGATGCTGGTGCAGGGCCAGGAGGCGAAAGCCTGGTCTGTCCCTGACCCTGTGGCCAACGGAGATGCCCCATCTCTCGTCTGCAGTCCTTCTACTTTGGGGAGATCAGCATTGGGACCCCCCCGCAAAATTTCCTGGTGCTCTTCGACACCGGTTCCTCCAACCTGTGGGTGCCCTCCACCTACTGCCAGACGCCAGCCTGCGGTGAGTACCGCAGCCGCGCTGCCCGGAGCTGCCCCAGCCAAGCCCCATCCCAGGGGGAAAACCCGATGCCAGAGCAAAAATCATCCCGGCACGCTGCTCTGGGATAGCTGCTCCCCGGTACCAGCTGGTGCCTTCCTTGGGAATTACAGAGCCCTCTGATTATCTGCCTGGCTAATGAAGATGGCCAAATCACTGCAGCTATCGTGGGTGTCCCCAGAGCGCAGGAATCTCAGGGGTTGTGCTTGACCTTTCGTGGCCAGGCAGAGGGAAGAGCAAAGCTACATCATGGAGCTGATGTCCCGCTCCCCGGCAGAGCTCATCCAATGTAACTTGCTGCCGGCGGGAGAGCGATGGGGTGGGGATTTAACTGCTGGTGGCTTTGCTCACGCTGGGCAGCTGGTGTGGTTGTGATCACTAAGCTGTTCCCTTGAGAGGGATGCAGGCAAAACTGGGATGCAAATCCTGAACCCTGCCTTAGGGATAACGGTGAGGCAGAGGAACGGCCCGTTCCGCTCTTCACAACTCGCTCTCTGCCACGGGAGCCGCTTCCCCAGGCATTATCCCGGCGGAGCAACTGGGATAATTATAATATAAATAAGCACCGGGGCCAGGCGAGCGCGTGCCCAGGAGCTTTGCCCTCTTCTCTCGCACGCAGGCAATCACAGAAAATTCAATCCCAGTGAGTCCTCCACCTTCACCTACAACGGCCAGTCCTACACCCTCTCCTACGGCAGCGGGGACCTCACGGTGGTGCTGGGCTACGACACGCTGCAGGTAAGCGCACCCCAGGCCCTCCTTGCCCTCCTGGGCCCCGCATCCCCAGCACCAGCTGGGTGCCCCGATGGAAGGAGCCTGGGGGACAGCCTAAGGGCAGCTCTTGTGACTCGTGCAGCCAAGACATGGGCAAACCAGGGCCTGAGATGGGCAGAACCAATATAAAGTGGTTATTGCCACCGTCAGTCACCCTGCTGGGTTTTTGCTTTGTTTTAACCCAATTCCTGCTAATTTTCCCAGCTTTCTGGTGATGTTTTCACTAGCTGTGACCTTGCAGCATGCTCTCTGGGCTTTCAGAGCATTAGGTTTGCCTAAGCGCCCAGGCTGACCTGGTGTCCCCTTCCCCTCCAGATCCAGAGCATCGCGGTCACAAACCAGGAGTTCGGGCTCAGCACGAGCGAGCCAACCCAGCCTTTCTACTATTCCGATTTTGATGGGATCCTGGGAATGGCCTACCCCTCGCTGGCAGTCGGAGGGATGCCCACCGTGCTGCAGGGCATGCTGCAGCAGAACCAGCTCTCCCAGCCCATCTTCAGCTTCTACTTCTCACGGTAAAAGTCTGCCGGGGCCCTCTGCATGTCCTGTGTGCACTGGTGTCCCTCTGCATGTCCCCATGCAGGTTCCTTGTGAATTTGTCCCTCACTAGCCCATGCATATCACACTGGTTTACCAATCTCTGCTGCTGTAATGCTGTGGTTTTGCAGTCAACCTACCTACAGCTACGGGGGAGAGCTCATTCTGGGAGGTTACGACACTCAGCTCTTCTCTGGGAACATTACGTGGGCACCGGTGACCCAGGAGCTGTACTGGCAGGTCGCGATTGATGAGTGAGTTGTGTTTGTACCTGATGGGCACGATGCACCCGGGCAGCTTGTGTGATGGGGGCATTTCAGCCGCCCCCCAGATGAAGCTGCAGCTATCGCAGCAGGCGTGGGCTCGAGGCAGGGGTTGGGCACTGCATTTCAGAGCATCCCAGGCTGAGAGATCCAGCCGAGACAGGTTTAGGTGCCAGTGGGTGCTTCAAGTGACATCCTTCTCCCCGTTCCCCTCCCAGGTTTGCTATTGGGCAGTCAGCGACGGGCTGGTGCAGCCAGGGCTGCCCGGACACCGTGGACCACGGGCAATACGGTGCCCAGGATGTACATGGACAGCTTCCTTCAGGCCATGGGTGCCCAGCAGACCAGCTATGGTGTAAGTGTGGGGGATGTTTTGGAGGTGTGCACAGGACAGCGGGGAGGCTTGCAAGCGAGCCAGAAACCATGGGCTTGACCAGATCCTGCAAAACTCACGTGGCATTTAGAGAACGTGGTGCTGCCAGCATGTCTGGGAGGTGATGTGGCCCTGCCAGGGGATAAAGTGTGTGTTACCCCCACACAGCGGGGTATCTCTCCTCTCACAGTCGGTGCTGTTCCAGCTGTAACCTCCTCTTCACCCTCTCTCCACAGTATACAGTTAACTGCAATGAGATCGAGAACTTGCCCACCATCACCTTCGTCATCAGCGGCACTCAGCTCCCGCTCCACCCCTCTGCCTACGTCTCTAACGTACGTATTAGCGGAGCAGCTTCATCCTGCTGAGTCCTTCAGGGCCAGGAAAGGACCTGGTGCTTCTTGACAAGCAGCGATGCTCTCCCTCCCTGCAGCCTGGCTGGTGGGGTCCTGGTGCTCATTTGAGGCTTTGACTCCCCGTTATTCCCCCCTTACAGGAAAACGGCTACTGCACTCTGGGGATTGAGGAAACCTATGTGCCTTCCTCGAATGGGCAGCCGCTCTGGATCTTGGGTGACGTCTTCCTCAAGGAGTATTACACCATCTTTGACATGGCCAACAACCGTGTGGGCTTTGCCTCATCGGCGTAGAGGAGCCAAACACACCTCAGCCAGCACTGCTGGAGCACTGCAACGTTCCGATGTTCCTGTCCGTGCTTGCACGGCTCCCTGTCCCTCTGTGATTTCTGTGTTAAGTGTCTTCTCGCAGTCTCCTGTTACAAATAAACCCCAACATCCCAAATTGTCTCTGACCTTTGGAGTTTGTTGAGCGATGTCATGGTTTAACCCGTCAGGCAGCTAAACACTGCACATCCCAACCCCTGCTGGGATGGGGGAGAGAATCGGAAGGGTAAAAGTGAGAACACTCATGGGTTGAGATAAAGACAGTTTAATAGGTAAAATAAATGCCTTGTGCAAGCAAAGCAACACAAGGAATTCATTCCCTGCTTCCCATGGGCAGGCGGGTGCTCAGCCATCCCCAGGACAGCCGGGCTCCATCACGCATAACGGTGACTTGGGAAGACAGATGCCATCGCTCCCAACGTCCCCCCCTTCCTTCTTCTTCCCCCAGCTCTATGTGATGAGCATGATGGCATATGGTGTGGGATACCCCTGGGGTCAGTCGGGGTCAGCTGTCCCGGCCGTGCCCCCTCCCAGCTCCTTGTGCCCCCCCAGCCCCTC